TCATATTTTAGTGAGTTTTTCATATTGAGATTCTATTGAAGGTCGGTACAGAATTTGATAATTATTCTATAACAATATCAAAATCAAATACAACAGATAGAAGAGTCTTCAACCCTGAAAATTTTGGTGCCTAGAAAGAACTTTACCCTTGAATAGTTGCATTATGTTCAATAAAACAGAAATAAAGCATGTAGTGTAGAGTCAGGAGTCAGGACGGCATTTGCTCAAAGAATAGAAAAATGTCTACATCTCAGAGGTAAATGAAACTCTTCATGATTAATTATGGATTACTGAAGCTCCAGAATGCATAGTTAAAGCGGACCAATTCCCTCATTGGTTTCTTCTGCGGTTAATAATGTCCACATTTAGTTCCAACTTCCAACATAAATGCCTCTGGTGGAATAATTTTATATGGCTGAATCTCTAAGAACCTTATACATATAGAAGTGACATAAATAAAATATGAAAAAATAAAAGAGCTTACTTTTCAACACCTGGCCGAAGTGGTAGCAATTTCTTCTCAATGAGAACCATGAATAATTCAGTCTTTCGCTTGTGAAGTCCTGCAATAAACTCCTTTCTTTCTTCTTCAGTTTTTGGTGCATTTTCTGGCCAACCAACTTTGTTAAAGTAGGCTGTCATCCTAATACCCAAGTCAACCACAAACAAAATCAATTCAATTCAAGTCTAAACTATATGAATTGCTGTTGCTCCTAAGTATATTTCTAGAAGAAATACCTTTACCTTTCTTTTCCACCTCCAATTTTGAGCAATTCTCCATACAAATCAACATCCCAAGTTACACCCAATTCCTTCTGTATACCATTGAAAATAATGGATTCTATGAAAAGTCATCAAATAGGGAAAAAGAAAAAGATCTTTACACAAATAACCTGACAGATTTACTGTTCACTTTTTAAAGTTGTATACACTTATCATGCACGACCATACCAATATTATACATATATTATACATCTATAGGCTATTTTTAGTTTAATCAGTAGTAGACCGCTATTAATTAGGTTTTTAAAAAATAGGGGAAACTCATTCTATTGAGCAATCCCGTTCTGCAAAACACCAATTGATCATTAAATTAGAAATTCCGCATGAATTCAACCGTTCAATAATATAAGCATACAATCAGAAGTGGAGCGTAGGTTATGGGTTCGGCCAAACATAACTTTGATCCAAACTTTGTATTTCTCTTATAAAATTTATTGAACAGGTACTAATTATTAATTTAGAACTCAGACTCTAATTCCGAACCTATAAACTTCAAATCTGTTTTCATCTCTGCAAACAATACAACACACTGAAGTGAGTTATAAAAAATGTACCTCAGCAAAGGTATCATTGAAAGAGATACGGTGACCATCTTTTTCAGTATCGACAAGTACACCATCGCAGTCGAATAGCAGTGCCTTTGGGAGGACCGAAGAAGCAGAACATGTCACTACTCCATTACGCCTACTCGTCTTGCTACGGAGAGTAACTGATTTTGTTCTGTCAATTGAAGAAATGGCTGATGATGACGATAACAGCGAGCTGTTGTTATTGGGTAATGTGACGGTTGAATATGGTAGAATCGAAGCAGCTCTTCTTTGTGATGAAAAAATGGCTGGAGAAGAAGAGACAACTCTCAACGCCATTGGAATCGTTAGGTACCACTCAAATTGTTTCAGCTTTCATTTGGTTGGAAAATAACGGTTTCCCAACCATGCGTTATCCGCCCAATGACCCCACTCTCCCAGCGGGTTGATTTGATTTGGTTTGATATGACCCCACTCTCCCAGCGGGTTGATTTGATTTGGTTTGATTTTCCTTTTTATTTAGTTTAATAACGGAACTAATTCAGAGTTAAATTTTTTTTATTTCTTGTCTATCTATTCTTGATTCTCAAGTCAAATTTTTGGATTCCCCGAATGAAATGGGTCGTTTCTGCCCATGAAATGAATGTTGATCCCGTTTTGAATGCTTCTACAATTCAAAAGTTTTCGAGAAGAGAATAAGCACATTATTAATGTGAAAGCTTATAATCAATCAATTGAATTACTAAAATTTTCTGAAAAAAGTGACATGTGTTACAAGTAGAATAAGATTTTTTAATTGTACTAATTGACTAAATTTTTAAAAAAAATTACTAATTATGATCAGGATCAGTTTTATTTTTTTAATAACATTCATTTTAAATTTAGAAAGTATACAATATTATTTTCTGAATAATAAAAGCAATTTTTATAACATTCATTTTTAGTTAAAAAGATGTAGAATATTTTTTTGAAAATTATAAGAATAACTTTTAAGAAAGTGAAAGAAAAAACTCACAGTATTGCGGGTTCGGTTCAGTTTTATTAAATTTTAATTTGGTGTTTGATTTTGAAAAAATGTGCACCAAATACCAAATCAAAATATTTTGATTCGGTTCATTCTTTTAGTTTCGATTTGGTTTAATTCGATGTTATTAAAACAGTTTTTTGGTGCAAAAAATAAAAAATAAAATGAGAATAAAATCATCAAAACATTTAACTAAACATAAAAGTTGAAAACTCGAAATAATCATTAAACATATTTAATAATTAAAGTTTCCAACAAAGAACTAAATTTTTTTTTCCAACACACTCTTTGTAATAGCAGCCAACAATTAAAACAAGTATCCAACACTTGAATCTTAAAAGTTAAAACAATACAAAGTCACAAATGCCTTAATATTCCACTTCAAGTAAAAAACAATACGAGTCACAACTCACAAACACAAGTTACCAAGTATATAACTAATAATATTAAAACGTTATTTTAAATTTAGTTAATAAAATTTCGATTTTTTGGTGCACAGATTTTTTTTACCCTTACACCGAATAGCGAACCGAAAAAACACCAAAACTGAAATTTCACTTTTTAGGTCCCACCGAGACTTGAACTCGGGTTACTGGATTCAGAGTCCAATGTCCTGACCACTAGACCATGGGACCAATCTTGTAAGTAACTCATTTAACAAATTTAATGAAACTTAGATCTTTAATTGGGCTAAGTATGTAATGGGTAGTGTTTTAAGGCCCAAAAATATTTCAATCTTCCTTTGAAATGGCGAGTATACTAGTTTGATAATAATATTGGAGTTATTTGAATCGTTTGATATGTGCTCTGAGAATTTATTTCGAATCTTTATTAGTTTTATAGTTCGAGGTATAAGGTAATTTTTTGTGATGTTTTTGATTACTTTTTGGTATTTTCAGAAGACTAGTATATATACATATACATATACATGATACTTTATAATATACATTAGAATGTTTACATAATGTTCTTCTTATAAACGTTTCACCAAATGGTGTAGTTTCTGCTTCTTGTTTCTTTGTAAGGAACTAAGGATCAATCAAGCAAAATAAATTTTAAAAATAAAGTAAGAGCAAAATTGTGATAGCAGAAAATCTCAGTACCTCGATTAATTGACTATTTGAACTTTTATCTTATTGGTGAGGATTTGATCTCCCGCCTTGTAATTTCCTCACCCACTTCCCCTTCTCCCACCTTATTTAAAGAAAAAAATGCGAAAAATAATAATAATTGCAATGACGAATTAAAAGCCAAATAGCATCGAATCGTTGTAGTTACCCAATTTAGGTGTTGTTGTGATTTACGTGGTCCTCCTTCTAAAGCAAATATTAGAAGCTGTCAATTGCAAGTTGCATAGAGCTATCTAGCGACCCCATTAATTGGATAAATATTGACATTTTTGGTGCATTCAACTTTTATAAAGGAAGTTGATGAATCCAAGTAACTTTTTTTTTTATTTTGAATCCAAAGTTTCAATTGCACACTCTTGTCAGATTTCTTACACAATCAAATCATTTATAAGTTTAATAACAAAAGCAGTATACAAGAACAAAGCTTCCCAAAAGTCTATCGATTCATTCCCGATCCCGTCTCGTTCACTCACCCTAGGTTGGAAGTGGGGATGCAATCCACATGACTAGTTTCACTATGCTTTTAAGTTAGAAAAAAGGATTTACCCTTAAGGAATCCAACTTGTGTTCACATATATGTAAGTGGTCCATTTGTACTTTATTCATTCCCTATCCGTGACCTAACATAATTAACTTTTTCTACACTAAATAAAAGAGGAGTTCCTTGATTAGTTATGTTTCTTCACCATATTAAAAAAGACAACCAAGTTGCACCTTCCCGTCTTCTTTACAACTATTGCTTTCATTCAAGAATGTACTTTTTCAACCTTTGTTTTGAACTTCACCTAATGGTAAATATGTACTCCTATCATTTTCAAAATAAGTGTCACTTTAGAATTACTTCATCTATCTAACAATAGTTGTCCACTAATAACTTGACACATGGATTAAGAAACAATAAACGATAGGGATAATTTTACCAAATCATTCTTTTTAAATATAAGTCATCTAATCTAAACATTGAAGAATGAATAATATTTAATTGCATTGGTAAAATAGACACAATGTGATAATTATTCATTGATTTTATAAACTGGACAAATATTATTGAACATCCTAAAATAGTATAGTGGATAAGTAAAAATGGACAAAAGGAATATATTCTTTCAATTATACCCTTATACACCATCTTCTTAATAGGGTTCAATTTTCAAGAGACAATTATTAAATAAAGATAGTTTAGCAAACTACATATTGTATTCATTGATTTCTTAATGATTGTGATTTTTACTATGTACTTGTTAAAAGTTAGGTTAGCACAAATGACATTCATCCAAATGCATAATCAAAGAAATGGAGAGGAGTTAAATTCAAGTGAAAATCAAAGAAATGGAGAGGAGTTAAATTCAAGTGAAAGAGATGACGAGAGTTATATAAGTCATATCCAAAGAGGTTGGAACAGATTAAAAAGAAAAGACTTTTACATAAATTGAATTGAACGTGTATAATTTATATTGTCGAAATAAATAAAGAATTATTAAACATGTTAAAAACCTAATGAAAATAGGATCACAATAACTAAATTTGTTTCCTTTTCCTACTTCTTCCTAAAAACCACTTCCGTATCCAACCCAAACCCATCAATGCGTCTCACCTCAACCAGCTCAGACACTTTGAACAATTCCTTAAGTGGGTCCACACTGTACAAATCATTAGCTGAATATTTATCAGCCCGTCTAGATAACGACACGTGTAACACACAAATTCCCCCGGGCTTCAACGTCCGTTCAATTTCTCCGACGAACTTCCATGGATAAAGTGCATGATCAAATACATTAGAGAATTCTAAGTCAAAACTCCGATCATCAAACGACTGACGATGAAAATCACCTTTGATTACTAACGGAGGATACGGCACCAGATCAATACCGATTGAATCGTTAACTCCAACCCGTTTCAATGCCGCTACTTCCTGCCCGACCCGTGCCCCGACGCAAAGCGCTTTTGAATCGTTCGATAAGAAACCTCGAAGTTTCAAATTGTCGAAGAATTCTGAGAAGACCCGAACCTTTCGGTCCCAATCTCGGGTAGTCCAAATTTTTCGGAGTTTCGGGTTGAGCGTTTTGTTGAGCTGACGATTGATGTATGCATCGTAGGATGAATAACCGGGTCGGATTCGGAGGTCCGGTGGAAGTGATACAGCGGGTTTGTGAAGAGAGTGAGGTGGAGTTTGAAAGGAAAGGAATGCTAAGAAGGAAAGAGAAAGAAAAAGGGAAAGGAGAAAAGGCTTGAGAGCGAAGGGTAGTTTCTGGAGATCTATCTTCATGCCTGCATGAATCATGATATATTTATATACACACACGTAGAAGGTTTGTTAATGGAGATTTTTTTTAACATAATGTGTGAATTCTCTGGTTTTGGGAATGGGTGGAGAGGGAAGAAGCGTGAAATAAGAAGAAGAAGAAAGCATACAGTTGTGATGCTTTAAGCAGAGTTTCGTTGCACTCAATATTACTTTAGGATTTGGTTTTATTTTTATATATGAACTAGAAAGTGATGCCCGTGCACCGGGCCTAAGTCCAACAATTTAATTTGTAATGTGTTTAAATATATAATATTTATTATAAAAAAAAAAAGGACCGAAAATATATCTTATCTTAAAGTTTTTGTTATTATAAATTGTATTAGCATAAATTAATAATGTCTTAGTACCATCAAAAAGATATAGTTGGTGCATAATTAAGTTCGTCTGACAATCAAAATAATTACACCTAAATGTTTCAAAAATTGATGTAACACATTGATTTCATAAAAAATCACTACATGGGAAAGAATCATCAACAATTGTAATTTTGAGAATTAACCAAAAAAAAATTCACACAATTTTTAGTTGAGAATTACACTACTAACATCTAACAATGCTAAGAATATTAATGATAGATCTTAAAAAGTTTCTCTTGATCTTGCAACTGTGGATAGTAATCTACCTTTCATTTTTTCAAGCAGATTTTTTTTCCACATGGATGTTGATGCTTCTTCAACGGTACATTTGTACTGTTAAAATAAAATAAAATAAAATAGGATTCAGGAGTAAAGTTTTCGTCTACCCATAAAAAGGAAGTGACTCTGATGGAACAATTAAATACCACTCTAGTTTTTTTCAATTTGCTTTCTTCATTTGTATTTGGTCCCTGACGAGGAAGGAATAACAGAGAATCAGGGATCATGACAAATTTCAACCGAACAAATTAACGCATTTTCAAATTACGTCATATAAGCCCATTTGGCCTCAAAAGTGTGTGTGTATATATATATATATATATATATATATATATATATATATATGGTGAAAAGGTTAATTGTATTATAGCCAATGAATGGGTTTGGATGGCTTAAATTTAGGGTGAAGAAGCACGATCCATATGTTTGCCTCTGTAGCACACATGACTTTGCTGGTTTTGGGAGACTTGGATTGTTAGTTTTTTTGGCCTAATTTTGAATTGCAATTGTAGCCAATTTCTTTGGAAAATAGTCACCATTGATAATTGTTATTGCCCTCAATTAATTGTCTATTTTCCCATTGTACATAAATTATTGTTATAGCTCTCAATTAATTAAACCTAAGTCATTGATATCAATATTAGACATGTGATAGTTGACACTCATTCAAGAAATAATTTGGAGAAATAACGATGATAGTTAAATCCCTTTCCTATAAATATGGTTCTCCTAACACTATAAGAATTGATTCCTAAATATTGATAAGGTAAAATAAAGGTAAATGTGGATAAAATATAAATAGTACAACTCACGTAATATATTGTACAATTAAGTACTGCAGTGTTAATCTTTTTTGTTGTTGGCTTATATATAATAAGGTAATTCGGTTTATCTTTTCGCTTCTCATTATTATTTTTCATTTTAAATAAGAGATTAAATTATGATTTGGAATTCCAACTCTTGATTTCAAGTTTTTGAAATATAAACTTGACTCGTAAATTTATATTTTGTAAAAAATAAAGTATCATTTTAAATTTTGCAACAAAAAAATAACTCATATTTAGTGTGAAGAAATTGTGTGGATAACGTGAAAAAATCATATTACAGAATAATATGTTAGTAAATAGTACTATCGTTAACTAATGAATTTTTATAAAATTATACATATTTGGAAATATTATCAATATGGGATAAAGAAATTTTATAATTCTTACGCTAGTAATCTCTTTAAATTAAAGAAATAATGTTCATCTCAATACTGTTTGCACCAGCGAAAAATGATCAAGTTACGTTGGAATATATTAGAAGATTTTAAATTTATTTAGATGTATAATTTGGACCTTTACAATTATCTAAACAAATTGATGCTTTAGGAATAAAAATTTGAATATTTTGTTCGTATACATGGCTCCAACTTGGCAGATGCCACAACAACTCACAACCGAGTTGGACGGACATCCATTAGAGAGAGGGACCGAAAGGTACACAAAGGGCAAATGTAAGCCCAAATCGAATACCTCAAGGATAAGTTTGAACTTTTTCCATATATTTATCCGGAAAATGATTTGATATACCTTTTAATTTTGCAATCTAGAATTGATATACATTTTGTTAAAAAAATGATTCACATATATATCATTACGTAAATGCCCCAAATATATCCCTTTTATCTAAGAAAGTGAAAAAAATAATATACTTTTTTGATTTTCTATTTTTATAAAGTCATAAATATATGTGAGTCTTTCTCAAAGTTATGAGCTATATTTGATTCTTCTCACACTATGAGGTTTTTTTGTTTGTTTTGCCTTCTTTAATTCAATAAATAATTTGAATGTCATCTTTTTATAAAATTTATCACAATTTTTTTCTTTTTTTATGGATACAAAAAAAAAATATAGCCCAAAAATAAGTCTTTTTCTTTCTTTTTATTTCTCATACTTTCACAATAAAAAATGAAACAAGAATAAGAAACTCAAATAATAATAAACAAATAAATTTACAAGGGACATATTTAAAACTCAAATTAATCGTTGAATCAAAAAGATAAAAAAAAAATACGTATGAAAAGGATCAAACATACCTCTAAACTTTGCTAGAAGGATCTAATATACCTCAATGTGATTTTATTTTTTTAATTTTTCACTTCTGGATATATCTGAGTTATTTGTGCAACTATAAAGGTATGTTTGAGTTATTTGTGTAACATAAGGATATATATAAACTGCTTTTATAATAAGAAATTAAGGATATATCAACTATAAATTGCAAAATTAAGAAATATATCAATCTCCCCCCACCCCACCCCACCCCTTTTTTTTCTTTTTTCTTTTTTTAATCTATGCTTATTTAACTGGAACAAAGCTTTTCAACGTAAGATATTAGAAACTGTACGGTATATATTTGCTAACTTTTTAGATATATCCTCGTGAGTGAAAAAGCTAGTATCATATTCCAAAAAGTAATCCGGTAGCCTAAAGATACCATTCAATAAAATTATATCCAGTGAATTAACTTGTCTATTGGGCACTTGTTAAGAAACAATCGACTCTAATTACCCAATTGCACTAAAGATTTAGAAGTTACTAATACCTACTCGAAACAAAATAAGAAACATTAAAAAGGGAAAAAATGCAATATTTAATTTCTGAAACTGATCATACCTTAAATTGTGCCAATATTGCACTTCAGAGTTCACTCTAATTCAATCGCCTGGTAATGAAGTATTATGCCCCAGTTTGATCAAGGACAACAAGTCCATCTACTAAACAAGAAACAAAATTACATATATAATCACAAAAGCAAATAAAGACGAAGACAAGTTCGTTCATATAAATAAACTTTACCTCTCTCCTCTTGCCGGTATATCTAGAAGCCAAACAATTCTGCAAACTACACAACTTGGGACACCAAAATCATTAACCCCGACGAAACTCTAAATCCAACACACCTTTTGGGCAGCTGATCGTTCCTCAATTGGTGCTGCTTCCTTTTCTATTAGACAGCAGTTCCTACCGTATAGGACCTTCAAAATGTATTTTGACATGTAACGATAATACAATCGACTTCCATCTCTCAAAAAGGAGTAGTCGCTGACGAAGAAGAAGATAATGAAGCAAATTGGAATCCGCCCTCATCTGCGGCGACGGCCTCTGTGGTACCAGGGCTGACCTATGAGGAGTATGAGAGAGCGATTCGACATGATCTTCGAAAGAAGCAAAAGAGCACTCAACAAGCAAATGGCACAAAGCAAGTTAACAATGTTGTATTGACCAAAATGATTGATAATGATCTGTACTATGGAAGGTAGCAAGGGTAATGCCGTATGCATTTACCACTACATTAGATGAACACTGAGAAGCCTAATTTTTACATCAAGAAATATCCATCATACAAGAAACTCAAAAGAAAGATGAACTAAGGAGGACTGGGTAGTCCGTGCCCATCTACCAATCCCAAATAAAACGGACTTGGAGAAGGCAGCAACGAACAGCATGCAGAGATGCAACAAGCTAATGTATCTGATTCTTCTCATTAAGATGCATCACGTAGCCCAAAAGACGGTAACAGCCAGCCTCTTTCTTTGGCATGCTCCAAATAAAACGTGAATTTATCATTTGCATTCGGAATGTCAAGAGCCAGATCTTCAAGCCCATCATTGATCCTCCCAAAGCCTTTAGTCATCTGGTTTATGGTGATAAGCCCCTCGCTAAAGCATGCTTGCAGCAAATCCAGTATCCTGTCATTCTTCTTCTCCATTGCCATAACCAAAGCTTTCTTCACCACCTCGTGATTGAAGAATGGCATTCCGAGCTCTCGTATGCACCGGCAAGCTTCACTGAGAACACCACTACTTTCAAATTCCTCCAGGAGCTTTTGTATCTTATCCTTTGCATCCTCCACAGCCCAGCCAGTCCCACCACCCCAACACCTCAGGATCCTTTCTCCAGCATGCCGTGCAGATCGAAGTGATTGAGCCGTACAGATGGTCTCCGCTCCACTGCTGCAATTTGGTGGCAGCTTGTTCGATATTTCCTCCAAATTCAGAGGAGCGAGGACATCATCTATTACAGCCCTAGCAAGGAAAAAAGCAAGTTCATTGGAAGCATCTAAAATGTCAAGTGCTGTATCTTCTGAAGATTCCAGTAGCATCACAAATCCATTCACTATGTCTTCAGTTGAAAAAATCTCAATATGAAGTGCAGAAAGCAAAACAGATGCCATTTCCTTTTCCTTGTTTTTCCTGTCCATGGCAAGGGTGATTAGCTTCTTCAGAAAAACGGGGTTAAACTCAGGTTGCCCCAAATCTTCCAAACTTTGGATTAGTTCTGGAATGTCATCCGAGAGAAAATATTCGTGGATTATGCTTACAATTTGTTTCTTGTATTGCTTCAATATTTCATCATCTGGACC